TATGTTAATATCTTTTTCTTTGATCGTTACTCTTTTTTAAAATGTTCTTCATGCTGTTATTTAGTTAGAAATACAGAAAAAGCTTTTTTATTGCTAAGTTTAATAGATTCAGAAGGCTTGCTAGTTTAGGTTCATCAATTACTAACTCAAATAAAGAAATATAGTGAGCAATGTAAAAATGAAGAGCTCTATTATCCAGATCACTTCTCATTAGAATCAGTTAAGGAAAGATTGGATGAGTATGATGTATCTAATATACCTGACAAACAGGTCCTAGCTAATATAATGATTATGCTCTGTATCTGTTTCACTAAAATTAAAAATCTGCATATATCTAATAGTGGTATAACTGAATACGCAAAAAACTAAGACGAATAGGATATTTCTCAAGTATTTAGATCACTGGAAAAGGATGAGAAGCAGGCTAAGCAATTACTTATATAGATTCAAAATGTGATTTCTTCTGGAGAGTTAAGAGACCCTGGGAAGCCTGAATCTACATACTTAAATGCATTTCTGAAGAAAGATAAATTTATTCCTAAACCTTATAACTCGCTACTTCCTAGCTTTTTACGTAAATTAGGATCAGTATTTGCTAGCATAATGCATAGAGTTCTGAATTTGATCTAACAGATCGGATGACCTGATGGGTTGACCTGAAAATTTTAGGTCAGATCTACAATTTAATAATCTAACATCAGGTCGGGTTAAGTCCTTAATCTGATCCATTAGATCCGGATCAATTTATAATAAAATTTACTAATTATATTATTAATTGATCGTCAATCTTTTTTTATCATTTTTTTTATCATATCTTTAAATACTTTCATTCTCAAGTATATAAAATGTTTAACAAAAATTTTTCAAAACATCCTTATTATGAAATTAATTCAGACTTAGAAGAGAATACTCTTAATGATGAACTCAACTTAGATAAAGAAAGTAGTAGATTTTCAGAAAAATCAAATTCTATGTTAAGCTTACTAGACGAAAATGATAAAAAAAATAAAAGTGCTGTGTGGGACCATTTTGATAAATTTGTAAATAATAAAGGTGTTATATGAGCAAAGTGTCAATATTATTTGTAAAAGATAATACAAGCAT